ATGTATTTCTTCTTTTTGTATAGTTCCGTTAAGGATGCTGCGTCTTTCATCAAATATTGTAAATATATCTGTGATAAGCGACGTTCTTCGCATATTCGCTTATTACAAAGTTCCTAGAATTACATTAATTGCACATTTCACGGCTGGAAGTTAATTCCAATTTTTTCGCTGTTCTTTCACTTGTTCATTGTAATAAGTACATTTTGTATACTCATACAACCTTTATTGTTCTACTTGACTTTTGTTGAACATCTTGCCCACATGATTTGATCATAGGGAATTGTTATTGCTAGTGGTAGAATTCGTGCTCTAAAGCTTTCAAACCTTTGAACTTAACTTTTAATCGAGTTAAATTCATTCGCATCTTTTCCTGATAGAAAGGACATCGTTACTTTTAAGTCTTGAAGAAGATCTTGATGAGAGATATAAATAGAGGAGGATCGTCGATATTTAGGATATGAATTTTTTTGGACAGCCGGGAAATTTTTTTCATCAGTTTTTCCAAATAAAGTTAAAAAAAAAAAAAAAGTATCTGCATGCAGGACACGGAACAGATGAAATTTTATGCTTTTGGGTCGACTACGGGGATGCAGCGGCATAGAGACAACGCATTGGAAGAAAGAAAGTATAGGAAGTGGATCGTGAGAAGCACACAATTTCATCGTGTAATACGTGTACCATGATCAAATACAATAGGCGACACATCGTTAAACAAAAACCATAATAACAGCACCATTAACCATCTGTATGTTAATATTTATATGTATATATTTATATAATTTTTTGCAAACAATTATGTTATGATTGCGAGGATGATGATGGAAGAACGTTGGATGAGAATGGGAGAGTGAGTAAGCGTGATTATAAGTAAATAAATTTTCATTGACAATAGTCGAGATAATTGTTTGTCCAGTTTAATAATGGAAATTATAAATTATAGAAATTTTAAATGAAATCATGAAGATATATTTTAAATAACCAGCCGGCTCAACATGTACATCTCCTACATTCATATAAAACAGACACGAACACGCGCGCGTGCGCACACACATACAAATATATATATATATATAATATATATGTATATATGTTTACATATGTAAGCGTGTGGGTGTCAATCGAACTTATGTTTGCGTATACATATATTTATATATATATATATATATATATATATATATATATATATATATATATATACACACATATATATATACATATATATACATATATATATAAATGAATATATGTATCTGTGCATGTAAGCGCGTACGCGCGCAACACATAAATACATAGTCACGCGCAACTAAACAAACACGCACGCACGCACGCACGCATACGCGCAGGCACACGATAAAACACGCAGGTATACAGAGAAATACACGACGTGCACACGCATATAGACGGCCAAGAGATGGAGCAGCATAAAACACTAATAAATTATTGGATATTTTAAAAAAAAATGAAGTTGTCATTAATGATTAATCCCCATGCCCAACCAGCTTTAAATTCCATTCTCCATGTCGTGTACTCCTGTAATCCTCTCATTTATTACAGAAACTTCCTAATTACAATAATGTTGTGTTGTCTTTTGTGGGTGCGGTTGTGTATGTGTGGGTAGCTGGGTAAATATATTTCTACATACAAAATACATATAATTACATATATATATATATATATATATATATATATATATACGTATATATATATGTATGTATGCATATATAAAATGTTATTAATATAACTGACGCAATACAGTTTCTATGATTAATTGAAATTATTATATATATATATATATATATATATATATATATATAATGCTCATTTATAATATTGGTTAAATAAAAAAAAGTTGTAACAACGTGGCGTAGTCAGAGGCCGCGGTCAGTGTTACTCGGGCGCTGGTCCCGCGAGTCCACCGACGATGGTCGGCCCCTTCGAGCCCCGGACTATATTATACGGAGAGCGAGACGAAGCTGTTGTACTGAGTGATGTTGCGCTTAAGGATGTCGGCGCAAGGACCGAGGACGCGCTCGAAACGCGCCCTGTCGAGCTTCACGCACTTGAGGGGCCCGCGAGCGACCACCGTCGCAGCCCTTGGCCTATCCAGCAGCAGGGCGATTTCACCTGGAACAGTTCCGGTGTTTTTGTTAGTTGACCTCTCCCAAACGCTCTTATTATTAAAATTAGCTATCACAACTGCCTTCTCTCATTTAATTGTATTTCTCAGGTTAAAGTGGTGATTTTAAAAGCGACGACGCTGTTATAATAGATAGATAGATAGATAGATAGATAGATAGATAGATAGATAGAGAGAGAGAGAGAGAGAGAGAGAGAGAGAGAGAGAGAGAGCAAGCCATTGGCGTGCAACACGTCGCAGAAATTCGAGTTTTTGCTTAAGATGACGAGTCACGTTTATCGAGGAATAAAGAAGTTTTTAGGTTGGGGAGTCGAGATTTGGTGGGTGGAATGGTCGCGCGATCTTGGAAATCTTACATAAAGTTTAGAAGGAAATTGCTTTTTAATGTCCCCTGCGTACTGGGTGAAAATAGCTTTTTGACGTCGTTTTATCAATTCTATCATCTTTTATGCATTACGAAGTCAATGCAAGTATTTTACCAAGTGAAACTTAGATTTCAAATTGTAGAAATGTACGCAAGTCTAACAATATTAATAAAGGCTTTTATATTTTAGCCGAGTAAATTTACAATTTCGACTTTTTTTTTTATTAGAATTTCATATTACGCTTTCAAATTTTTCTAATTTTTTCTAAATATTTTATATTCAGAATTTATATTCAGAAATAAATTAAAGAAAATCTTTCCTATACGAGCAAAGTTTTATTCAATTTAAAGAAAATGTATAGATTTCATCGGCACCTTGTCTTACCGAGTGGGGATTGTGTCTTTAAATTTAATTATTAATAAAAGAACGATATTATCAAGACGATATTGCTAATTGAAATAAAGTACATTTTATTATTGAACAATACAGTTCTCCTTAATTAATTTAGGCATGTCAATGATTCCCAGTGCCGACTGATTCTCAGTTGTTTAAATGAAAAATTTAAAAATTACACAATTGCTTTAACATACATCTTTTAAATACATTTTTCAGGCGAAATTGCGGCAAATGAATTTTCTGAGAAAATCAGCGTTAAAACAATTATTTTTCCCATTGCATTCGCGATGTATTTTTAAAATATCAAACATTACTACCACTCGCTGGAAATCCACCAAGTACGAAGGAAGACTAATCTAATTTTAACTCTGGTGAATATTCCGAGGCGAATTCTTTCAGACACCAAATAAATCATTTTACCTCTCGCTTAATAGAAACATTTTGCACCCTTTAAATCCAATAAAATATTGCCTTCTTCCTCGTGCAATTTATTTCTAATGCAAGAAAAGTAAGAAAATAAAAAAGATGATTCAACCTAAAATGGCTTCGGCTCGGTATTAAGGCGAGATAATGTTGTTAATTAATTAATCAATATGATAGTTGCATACGAGTAATGGGAGAGAGCGAGCGAGATTGAAAAATGTATTAACTTACCAAAGTAATCGGAAGGCCCAAGTCGACCTACTTCCGCGGGCTCCTCGGCTTCTGTACGTTGCTGAAGGACAACTGCCGTACCCTCGACGATTATATAAAAGTCCTCGCCAGGCTCACCCTGTCGAACTATCGTTTCACCGTCTTCGAAAGCTACGGGCTCCAAAGCATCAGCTACCGTTAGTCGTTCCCATTTTTCCAGCGATTCTAAAATAATTTTTACTTTGGCTAAATATGAATATTAACAGTAAGACGGTCAGCTTCTTATCGAAGCCACTGGCCATCTTCCATTGCCGGTTAACGATTGCTAAAATTTTACTTTTTAATTGCTAATTAATTGCTAAGATAATTTAAGATTATTTTATATAGAGGGTTAGCTCATTTTAATGCCAATTTTCATGGTAAAAATTTTAATTTCTCGAGAGAAATTAATGCTTTAAGTGCTCCTGTAAATTATAGAAGTAAATTATGAAATATTATATTTTACATTATTTAACAAAAATTACCCTCGAATTCCCGAACATGTCGGCATAATTAAATTTCACTTTTATGCTAATTAATCATTTGACAAACCGGTCTTATTTAAATTCTTGTAGATTTTCAAGATTATACAAGAATGTATGAAATTAGAGGCAGAATCGTATATTTCATCAATATTTATGTAATTTTCCAAGCAAGCAGAAACTCAAGTTACTAAAAGTTCAAATAATATTTGCTTATTAATTTATCTTATTTTATTGTAATTCGTATATCTTTATTATAAAAATGATTCAAATATGCCAAAGTACATTTAGAAATATTGAATTTTTTCTTTAACTGCTATAATAGTTCTTATTTTATGATATTTTATACAAGCTCGCGCATAAGTATATTTAAGAGCTGGAAGTTATAATTATAAATTAATCAAATTAGAATTCCTTATTATGATTAACAAAAGTGCTTTTATTTTAAAAGTGTAAAGTCAATAAATATTTGCCGAATTGTAATAATTGACATAATTTTCATTTGAATTTAACAATTGAATTAGAAGTATATTTTATGTGTAAAAATGAATTTCTTCCATTATGCTTAAGACGCACTGTGTATTAAGAAATGTTTAGCGCATTTATTAAATATGCTATAGTCAACTATTTGAATAAACCGCAGGAAATGAATGAAGAAATAGATAATTATTACATTTTTAGAGCTATTATATTATAAAAACTGATTGGTATATTAACAGTGATAAATGGCTTTAAAGATAATTTTAATAATAGCTTTGAGGTGGCCGATGTCAATGCTCGAAATAAATTACAAATTCTCTCGCCGAGGAACTGTTCTTATATTTAATATAAGGCAAAGCAATCTTAAATCATATCTATTTAATGAAATATTATGAAAAGATGTAGGCAAAATTAGGCATCTCCATTACTTCTTATCTTCAGTCCCAAACCTTACAATCGAATTGCCATTCATGTAATTGTTCGCGCTGACATATTGTTAAAAACTACATTTGGGACATCGATGTGCATATTAAAAGCACGTGCGTCAAAAAAGCGTCAAGTGCAAAAAGGTGAAAGGTAGATAAGAGTGTGCAATGTGACGTGTGACTTACCTAAAATGGAAACTCTCGAGAGAAACTCTTCGTACATCTTGCGCTTCCTAATGGTCGAACCCATGAGGATACGGCGATACGAGTCCCGATCAATGCCCCAGAGCTTGACGTCGGTCTTGGCCCTGACCGTCGCAGCGCGTGGCGTCCCGTAGATAAGGGCGAGTTCACCGAAGCTTCCGCCCTCGCCGATCGTCGTCACGAGCTCGCCACTAACGAAGATCTCGACCTCGCCTTGATCGATAACGTAGAAGTTGTCACCCTCGTCGCCTGGGAACAGTCCAAGAATTATGCTTTAGATTTTGTTTTCGGAGCTTGTGTGACTAGGCTCTGCGCCCAAGGAAATTTTCCGGCCTGCTACTTTCTTCTCGCTTTGGAATTTTCGGTGGATGATAGTCGCGTCTTTTGCTTGTATAGGTAGAGATACGGAGCTTTGTATTCTATTCTTTTCTCCGTTGTGAATTGTGCGTACGTTTTTTGAAATGATCGACGATTGGCGGATGAAGGATGGTGGTGGCGGGCGGATGGGGGGAGGGGGATGGAGGGTTGTTGTTGTTGTTGTTGTTGTTGTTGATGATGATGTTTAAGCGAGAGGAAGCGTACGTGGAAGGAAAGCGTGAATTAAGTAACTTGTCCGAAAAAATGTATCGCAAAATTCTCAGCTTTTTCTTTGCGTCAACGAAATTTGGCCATCGAAATAGCAAATTAAAATTTACTTAATTTTTCCTTTTATTTGTTTTTATAACATGATTCCGAGCTGAAAATTCTTCGAGATTTTATTATTCATAAAAGTGGCGCGAGTAAAACTTTTAGATAAATATATTACAAATTAAATACGACATAATAAAGAACTCAAGCTTTCAAAAACTCGACAATTTTTAATTGTTCAATAAATCAAGTGCAAGTCTCACAAACCTCATGGTAAGAAAAATACTAAAACATTGTGAATAACACAAGATTATATTATTCTTAAAAATCTTACATATTTACGTATCGTTTTAGTATTTCCAAGTCACCGTGCATATTAATAGTATGATGTTTTATAAATTCAAATAATAAATTTATGATTAAGATTATTTTTATCTTAAGCACTTTACCTAACAAATTTACTCGTTTAAGAAACTTTGTATAACGTTTAAAAGTAATTACAATTTATTATAAATTTTCTTCGATTTTATCTAAATAGCTTATTGTCTCGTCCCTCAAATCTATAAATCAAACGTTAATCTTGCAAAACTTGATCAAAAGTATTTCATTATAGAAAGAAAAAAAAAATGAAACAAGGACGACTACATAACACTTTATTTTCTGTATTGTGATTCGTTCTTTTACCGAAGAAATAATATATTTTGACTTTTACCTGGTATTTTGTCATCGTTATTTATCGAATTATTTGAAAAGAGTATTATAATTTTTTATTTTGTTTTACATTAAATCCTTATGTTTTATTAATTTAGTTTAAATAATAAAACTCGTTTCGTAAACAACACTACACTTCTCATATATATTTTTTATTAAATTAATGAAATTTAATAAGCTTTATAAATAAACTTTATTTTAAAATTTAATAACCGACATAAAGTCTTTTTTATTTCAAGCAATAATAATTGCAATTGCTTATAAAAAATTATGTTCTACGATCAATAAATAGAATTATAATTAATTATTTATCTAGAATCGATGAATTTATTTTCCCCAGTCGTTACATTAATATTATGAAGAATTATTTATTATAGTCTGGTAAAGACCGTTTTTGAAGATAAACATTGTTATATTATAATCTACGCTCACATAAAATTGAGATTAAACAACATTTGATATATTTATTCTTTGTTAGACTCGTGGATAAATGTCATTGTTTATTTCGTAAAATTATTCTAATACTCCGCATAAAATTTTGCTGAAATTACAAACATTAAATAATAATTTTTTATTATAAAAAAAAAAAAAAGAATAATACTGAATTGTATAATATGAATAATATTAGATTCTGCATCTAAACGATATAATTTAGATAAATTATATATCTATATTTGATTAATATTGTGATTAATCACACTCGTAAATATTTTATAAGAGACATTGTATATTTAACTACATTGATAGAAAATAAATAAAAATTCTCATGAAATTAATTATGTTTAATTCAGCTAAAATATAAAAGTACGAATATCAACAACTATATACATATATATTTATAAAATGGAATAAACATGAAATGATATAAATGATATACCTCTCACGGATAAATAGAGGATGTAATGTAATCGGACAGCTTTATGATTATATTAATAGAATAAAATTAAAAAATTTTAATTTTTCTTCTTTTATATTAGTAATTATTTTACGATTATAATGGCTTATATATATACACACAATAAAAATAACTTAATTTTATTATAGAACGTGTTAATACAAAAACTGATTATTCAATGGATGATCGTTAAATTCGTAAAAGTCTGAAATTTAAAGCTTGAATCTATTTCTAAACATTTAACATTTTTATGTTTATGTTTCTCTTTGCTTTAACAATAAATCAGACTTTAGTTTAATTCATTATAAGAAATCTGCAATAATTTAAATAATTTTTTTTTCCAATCAAAGATTTCTTATGAAAGATTTTTGCAACTGTTTAAAAAAAATCAATAATTTTATTTTATCAAGTAGGTACGTCATAGAATATATAATGTGTATAATATCTTATGCAATGTTAATAAGAATAAGTATTATAATTAATTCTTTCTTAATTATTTTCAAAAAATTTCAATTTATCTAAATCGGATTTTATTTAGAATTTTTTTTTTTCACGTAAAATGTTTTGATTTAGCAATGTCTATATATTTAATAAAGAAAGTTTCCCTTTGTTTGTAATGAAGTAATCACTTATAAATAATTTTTTACCATCAAAATCTTCCGACTTTAAAATATATCTAGAATAAATGCAGATTATTTGAAATTTTCTTTTAAATTTTCGATTTGAAATATCTTCAATTATGTTATTGACAAATTTTGCACAAACATTTGTCACACACTTGATAAATTATTATTGTGTACGAGTTTACGTGTTATTAGTTCATCAGTTTTTTGTATTACTAAGGATAATAGAATATTTTTAGGAAGTAAAAAATTTAAACAATATTAATTAATTATTTGACTTTCTACATGTTTATAAAAAAGGAATAATAAAAATATATAATATAATAGTATAATATTATAAAGTAATATAATAGATGTGTATAATAATATAATAATAAAATTATTATTGTATAAGAATATTGTAATATAATTTATAATATAATTCTATAGAGTTATCAGTATGTATAGTTTACAAAACAAATTGAAATTATCTTCTCTAACCAAAGTGTACAATTTTAATTAATTTTGTTATGTCTGATTTTCTTCTAATTTTTTTTTTTCACAAAAATCCATGAATTAATATTAATCGTAATTCAATGCTTAAATTAATTACTAAAATTGTTGCTTACAAAGCTTACAATACTTATAAACAGATATATTACTCAAGTGAAAGCATTAACTTATAAATACGATAAATTGTTTATTTTACAATATTTAGATATCTTTCGCTTATATTTTTCATATTTTTCATATTCTTCGTACAAGCTGTTTCGATACTCTTCCGACAATTACAATTCGTTAATTACTATTATCAACGTTTAGAGGTAAATTGTTACCGTTTGCATAACCTTCAATATCCGCGGCACCGCATCTCAGAATGATTTGAGCTTTGGAATAATTTCAACTGTTTAATCGTCTTAATTAGCGATATGTAAGCCAATAAAATATTGTCATTTTTCCGCATTATCATCATATTCAATTATTATGTTTTAATAATATATCAATTAAGATCATAGCAATTGTTATTATTTGAAGAAAAAAAAATGAATTATTTTCAATTGTGCTAAAATTTCATAATCGACAATAAGTCTATTTAAATATTAAACTTAGCAATATTTTACTTTAAGTGTAAGCGAAATAAAATTGCATCTGTACTTTGAATAGTCTATGGATATGTTATGGATATTGCAGGTGAGGGTAAATACAACGGGTGGGCTGAATTATGAAATGACTTAATTGATTTATTTAAATGGAAAATTTTAGTGATGTTATTGAATATTGCGCAGAATTAAAATTATAATTTTTGTTAAAATATTTCATTGAATAGAATTTGATTTACTTTGTTATATGAATTATTATTGGTGTTGAATAATTTTATAGATTAAAACATCGTTTTATGATATTATATCAAATGGGCATTTATAAAATTATGGGTAATTAGCTTTAAACTAATTTATTGGATAGGAGTCGATTGGATGTATTAATTTGTGAAAAAGAAGCATTTATAAAAGATAATGTTGACAAAAGTAAATATTCCTAGTTTTATAATTATAATATTATACTATAGTTAATATTATATAAAGATAAGCTGAATAAATCGTGAAGATCTTTCAATGCATAGAAAGTAATGATTAGGAATATTAAAGAAAAGCGACGAAACAGTGGTTGACTGGCGAGAAGGGAAAAGCCGTGCGTACCTTGGCGTATAATAGCCTCGCCGGGGAGAAACGTGACGGGGAACATCGCGTCGAAAATGTCGGATCGTTCGTTCTCGTCTAGGTGGGCAAAGAGCACATTCTTGGCGATGGCCTTACTGAGGGCTGCCATTGTCTTGTAATCCTTGGGAACGACCTTTTTCACATAGCTGGTAGCGTCTTCCTCGGTGACAGGCTCGGCGGAGATGCCACCTCGTCGTCGCGGTACCTGGGGTCCTTGCTGACCCGCGGGCATGTCCTCCGTATCCTCGGGACTGGCCGCGATCTGTTGCTTCGCATCTTGCGCTTGCTGCAATTATATATTATTATTGTTATTATTATTGTTGTTATAGCAACAGCGTTATATTATACGATGTGATATTGTATTGTATTTATTAATCAGCTTTCGGCTACGACGTATTGAAGGATGGTTAAATAAATTAGGATTAACAAGCTTAGGTAGTTTCAAGTGCCTTTGCTAATTTGATTTTGTATAGTTTGGTTTGGTGAGTTACCAATAAGAGAACAGTTTACCAATAATAACGTTTGGAGTTGATAAATGCTGTTTATTTCATAAACATTATCGATTAAATCTTGATTTTTCATGCGTATTGCTTTTATAATCGTTTTTATATTTTGATGCAAATTATTTGGGTGGATATGAATGCAGAATAATAACAAGTGGAAAGTTATGAATAATTCGTCACATCCGCTTTATATTTACGAAATTTCGTATAATGCGAAACATATTGCCACCCGTTGACAATTATTTTGGGACAATCTGTTGAAAATGAAGAATAGACATTGTTAAAATCGAAAACAGTCCGTTAATGCTGTTTTAACTCGATGCATATATTAATAGAATAAAGCTATTTACGATAAAGTCATAGTTAAGCTTTGGTAAGGATTTCATTAAAAAAGTGTAAACGAAATCGCTATCGCTCGTTTATCGCAACTATTACGGAACTACGATGTATTCTACGCTTTATCGAGAAGTTCCCTCTAGCGTCCATTTATCTGTCCCTTCAGCCTCCACTAAAAGTAAAATTTTTCATGCGAATCGTATGTTTTTACGCAGCTTTTGTACCCTAATGATCGCAATCTTATCGCCTCCTTAATCTTTCCATGTTTCAATGTCCTTCAATCTTGAGATCCGAGTCGCAATTGACGAGATTACATTCGATCTCCAGATAGCATATAAAAACTTTGTAGCGCGTATTGATTAAACGCTTTTTTTTTTATTTACCTATTAATTATAATTACAAAATTAATTTATTTAAAAAATTCATAACCCACAATAACTAATTGCAATTTAATGAATTTCATTCGCCATCGAATCTCATCCATTAAATATATATTGTAACGATAATAGTTTTTTTTTGTTGTAATGGTAACATTTGTTATAGAATTTTTTTTATCTTATTTTTAACTGTATTCATTACGGGAAGCAATAAATTATTATAATTTGATCGTTACTGAAACTTGTTGAGTATTACGCTGATTGCTTCTACGGTCATAATGCTTACCCGAAACAAATAAATGAAAACTCTTTTGAGATAATCCCTATTTTTTTCTTTCGTTTTGTTTTGAATTACAACTCCAATTAATCAATATCGTAATAATATTCGGTTACATAAATATAGTAGTGATAAAATATTAGAAATACACTTAAAGCATTAAGTATAATTAACAGATGGTATTTGATAAGACAAACGATACATTATCTTAAACTTCATACGACACTATTTAATATGCCAAAATTAAACGTATTTAAATATAAATTTCCCTACTTAGAATATTGCACGAATCTTTCTCCTATATAATAAATTTATTAAATTGTATTTAAAAGTTTACATACCAATTGAGTTATAGCTTTTACTGATTAGCGCTGAATTTATGAGATAAAGAAATAATTACAATAACTGAGTATTCGATCATTACAATTCATCAAAAGTCAATGCGAACAGTATTTAAAATATTGTATTTTTTTTTTTTTTTTTTTTTTTTTTTTTTTTTTTAAGAAAAAGTGATAAATTATTAACATATTCAATGAAAATTATGAAATTTCAAGTGACATTCGAGAGAACGAAAATAACGGAGGTACAATTTTTAATAAAACTCAATTTGCAGCTCAAAAGTATCAATAGATTAACCCATTGAACGAGCAATCCATCGAATAGTTTTTCTAATTTCCTACTAATTAAATTACTAATTACATGATATAACAAATGTTGTTTGATAAACATAATGCAATATTTCTTGGCTCCCCCGTAGAGTAAATGATAGATCTTTAATACGACTTGTGATATTATTCATCGCTAATTTTGCACGCGATTGCGTGTTTTCATAATTACTGCCAACTGCTAAAATTTTACAACGGCTTTTTATAAAGTAACGTAGCATTTAGGTAACCTTGAGATACTTCCATAATATGTAACTACTGATTTGCTTATGCGTGTTATGGGCGTATATTTTTACAATTAAATAATAGAATAGTCGCAATTTAATTGCGAATTGAAAAATTGCAGAAAATATTGAGGAAACGTTATTAATATTTTTGATAAGCTTGTTTACAAAGCAAATAAAAGCACCATAATTACTTCAATATTTCCGAAAATAAATAATTATTGATTACGTTTATGTATTACAATATGCATAAACAGGTCATGCATATATTCATAACTTTGGTTGCATTTCTAACTATTATTTATTTAATAATATTTTGCGTTAGTTTAAATGTAGCCTATTTGTAGTGATCATAGATTACATTTAATTTTATATGTTTTAATAATTCATTATGTAAGATCTCTCGATTCAAAGTAAACCAATTTATAAATAGTAAATCAAAATTTAATATTACAGTATAAAATGATTTATAGTTATCTAAAATAGCTAATTTTTGAGAAGATATTAATTAAAATAATCGTCAATATATCTTAAGGATATTTTATTCTTTTATTTACATTATTTTGTAAACTTTTTACATTTGTTTCATTTCAGTGCTTCAATTATCATATTATATTAAAATTGTTAAATAATCTAAGTATTATAAAGAAATAATTCCATGAAACTAGTAAAATATGTTAAATTTCATGTGTACAGTTGAATCTGATTTTTAGAAATAATTAGTTAATTTAGAGTAAATAAACTTTTATGAAGAATGCTGTTAAACAAAAATTTATTATAGAATAATTTTTAATTGATTTAATAATTAATTTTAATATAATTTCATTTTTAATTTTTTAATCGACAAATAATATAGAATTTAAAAATATACTTTTCCGAAATTCTGGAAATTCTAATTTTAGTTTTAGAAACACATTTATTTTAAATGATTTTTTTTAATAAAGATTCTATTTAATAAAAATTCTATTCACTATAGTATTATAAAAAATATACGATTGATAGAAAATCATTTTGTTTACAACAAAAAGTGAAAATGAAGGTTAATATTAATTCAGGCATCGAATATGATCAGAATTTTTAAGCTGATAATATATATTAAAATGTCAATAATTTTTCTAAAAATTAATTATCAGTATAAAATTAATGTAAAGACAATTATAAAAATAGTATTTATTATTATTAATAAAAGTTTCATCAAAGTAAGGCATTGGTAAGCATCAATTAACGAACATAATTTAATATACAAAAATGCTTACTTACATGTTGTATACATGTGTGCATTGATCTTCTATTCTAATCGTGAATTATTCGAAACTGTGCACTAATTAAATACATTGATTAGAAGTCAATATAATATAATTTAAAATAATTATGTCTTTTTATAGGATTGTCAAAAGCCATTGATGCTTTAAAATTAGACTCAACGTGATCAATATCATTCATCACTAGATTATTATGTTTTCCATATATAAATTTAAATGATTTTCGATATGTTTAAAGTATTTTTGCAGCTTGTTTTTTTTTTTTTTTTTTTTTCTTTAATTTTTAAGTCCTTTAAGGGCTAATTTCAGAATATTAGAGTTTCTCAAATTATACATAATTTTCGTCATGGCAAATTTATTTTACTTCTTTCCATTACTTTACTCTCGCAAAAAAATATTACGTAGTTAAAAGAAAAACACCTACTCAAAAGTATTTTAGAGCTTCAAAAAGTACTAAAGAGTCTAAAAAATGAAGTCCATCCAGTTTATATCTCTACTTTTTATTCATTCGGTAAGTGATGGCTAGAGAGTCCTTGAGACATCAGCAATTAAAATGTTAATAAACCCAACGTGTCCCTTTGGCGTCTTTATCGGCATTTTAAACTGTTTTTTTTTTATCCCTTTTTCGTTTTCCAATTTTACACCAGCTTTTCTCGCGCTCTCACTTTACTTAAGGAGTCTCCAACCCCGCTGATCCTTAAAAAATACAGGAGACGAGTTTGCGGATTTATGACATTTTTTTTTTTTTCGATTTAGCAGAATTTTCTCGTTAATATGAAAATATAATATTACTCGTCAAGAAGCAACGGTAAAGTCTATATTTTAAAATAGTTTTTCTCTACGTGTTGAATTTAAAATCTTTAATACAAAACGCCTGAGTATTTCCACATATAAATGGTGGGCAGGGATACGGTAAAAACTATACTACATTTATCGAAATATTTTATTCTTATTCATGCACCTGCTCACCTTTGACATAATTACGATATAATAAAATTTACTTTTGAATAATGTAATAACAAGATTGTCGAATCCAACATAATACAATATTATCGCTTTATTCAGAATTTGAATTTGAATTTTATCATTGATGTAAACAACTGTAATTTCTTATCTTTATAATATTCTGAAATAATTTGGAATTCCTGAATCTACAAGAACATTCTCAAATAAGAATAATGTATTTTTAATGAATAATACGAATGCGAAGCAATAATATAGGAATGGAGAATAATAGCTGAATAGTAATTGTTGATAGAGAGAGATATGTAGTATTAAAAATAAGTAGAACGTCAAAAATGGTTTTTACTTTAGAAAGCACAAAGTTGATACATACCATTTAAGAATTATAAAATAAAATAGTTTTAAAAATATATTGTACATCAAAAGGTCGAAAAGGATGAATGTCATACTGAATCATCTTCAGAATTAAAATAGTAGCAGTAAATCATTCTAGTAACCGTCATAGTTGCTGATGTTCGTTTATAAATAGACTAAAAGATTCCATATGTACATGTTAAACATTTTAGTCTTATTTTCTTTTGATGTTTCGCAGTAGTCGAAACATTAATTTCAATTTGCAGTAAAATTTCAAATAAAAACAAAACAAAGTATCAGCGATAAGTCATTCGATCAAGTAAGG